ACCAGTGCTTTAGACCACCATCGTTAATAAGTATGTAAATGATGGGTGAGCACATCTTTCATGGGTTCTGATCGTACTGAAAATGTTGTTTCTGAAGGAATGTAGCCATTCCGGAACACTTCTAAAAGATAGTTCTGCTCGTTGGTTTCGACAGCATTACTCGTTGCGTTTTGTTGCGTCGCCAGACTGACGCCATATGGCACGGTGGTCGAAATGAATGTCATATTTGTGATCGGGACGTCAGTAACCAACAAGGATTAAGACTTAGCGGAAATGCTTCATGCCCACTGGTATTCTGATCAGGGATTGTGCCAGCGACTTCAAAGGATTCATTGCCCATGGTTAATCACTGTATCGAAAATAGGTCGAAATCTCCGATTTGGTTGAAAACTTGCCTCTTTGGCTAATTTGAGCCTCCAGAACACGAATATCACATTACTCGGTGCAAAAACGCTTTGCATGTTGCCGGCTCCTGTACACTAACCCCTTTCGCGTCAAAGCTACTCAAATAGGTCATGATGCCGGAATTGGAACGCGATTTAATAAAAAATGACTGTAGTCGTCCACCAAATAACCTCTCAACTCAGTTTTAGCAAATTTGATGATTTTTACGTGACCCACATACATGCTGCAAATGGGCGTGACCAGGTCAAAAACCTGCATGACTTTGCTCAGAGAATCGCTTAGCAGATATGGAGAGCAGGTTTGTAATTAGCTTCCAAAGGACGCATAGGGAAGTAGACATCCCATTTTGGACTTCCACTTGTGCTTCTCATTTCGAACTTCCACTTGTGCTTGTGTTCACTTCCAACTCCATTTCGAACCACAAATGTGTGAATAGCAGACAAGTACTGCTCTCCGAATGAGTATTTCTTGCTTGAGTTCTGTACGTACCTGTAAAGTAGTTGTGTATAGTGGGAACGGTCGTTTGGACACTAGTTTTTTTGGGGCCGGGGTCGTATCGACGGGCCGGTTTTCCTCAAGTGATGCTTTACCCCGATCTGCGCTCTGCCACGGATTGACTTGGCAAGAAGGAAATCGCCTTTCCTCCCATCAATGTTAGCACAGCGCTCAGGACATCGAACAACCACAGCACGCAGTTTTCATCGATTTCGATGTGTCGCGCTAGATTGACGCCTATTATTGCAAAATCGCAGCAGAAAAAGCATGTCATTTAGTGGTCGGTGCCCCGAATGTCCTCTGCAGGCGAAGTTCCGGCGGAAATCGCTTTTGTTGCTCAGTGGAATAGTGCCAAGAAGTCTTGGCAACGTTGTGGAGTGAAGCACTTTTCCTGCTGAAAGATTTCTGCGTTAAGTTTGAACAACGGTAGCACTCTCGAAAATAATAGGGTCTTAGCAAAACCATTATATCCTTTCGGAATAGAAGATATGGTTTTTAAATCATGTACGGTCTTGATTCGAGGTTATGCCTAAATAAAGCTGCAGCCTTTAAAGGGTCTAAAACTCGCACGCGCAAGGATAAGGACAAGGAGTGCTGATTTCGGTTAGAAACATAAGGGTCGAAAGTTGTTAGAAGTTAAGGACACGTGGTACGATCATACGGAGCGGGAACTACTGCGTTTATTTTTTTCCAAACTCCTGAAGACGAGGGCGTTTTTCACGTGCTTCGAGCAAAGTCCACAATAGAGCTTTGATTAGTGCACCATGCCGTCTAAAAAGATTTCTACGCTGCACCCCCCTTCCACATTTATGCGTAGTATATTATTACCTATGGAAATCTTCAACTGAACCTAAGGCATGCAGCTCCCTTAGGTTCCGTTAGCACCAAAACTGATTAAATGGACCATGGAACTAAGGAAGCGTCAACCTCGCTAGCTAGCCTTCGAATATCGAGAAGGCCTTCGATCGCTCAAAGCGACCTGTACTCTGGAGGGCTCTCAGAGAAGGAATGTTTCCGAGCACCTCATCTCCCTGGTGAAGGACATGTATAATACAATGGGGCAAAGGCAGCTGTACGCACCTCGCGCGACCTATTAAGGGAGGTAGACGTGAGAGTTGGAGTACACCAGAGGTCAGCTCTTAGCCCCTTCATCTTCCTCTAACCATGGATCTCATGGCAGAGGAACTCATGGAGGGGCCACTCAAGACCATCCTCTACGCCGATGACATTGCCCTGATAGCGGAGAGCAGAGAAGAACTTCAAGGGAAGTGCAAAATGGCAGGAGGTACTGGCCGAAAATGGTGTACGGTTGAACGTTAAGAAGACCTTTCTAAGCTCCGAGGAGTGCAACGAGCCCATCCAGGACAGCCATGGAGAATCCATTGAGACAGTGGAGAAGTTCCGCTACCTGGGAAGCGATCTGGCCCATGACGGTGGCGTGGACCAGGCAGTAAGGCTCGAATAAATGCGGCTTGGATGAAGTGGAGGGAGTCTACCGGTATCCTCTGCGATCGGCGATGCTCCAGAACCCTTAAAGGCAAGGTGTTCTGGTCATTGGTGAGGCCGGCAATGCTCTACGGCAGTGAGTGCTGGCCCATCTGCAAGAACCATGAAAGGCAGCTCCACTCAGCTGAAATGAGGATGCTGAGATGGGCCTGCGGCTGGACACGACTAGAGAGTCAGAAACGAGGACGTCAGAGCGGTCACACAGACAGCTCCAATCCAGCTGAAGGCACGAGAGCAGCGACTAAGGTGGTATGAACACGTGCTGAGAAGGCCCGAGGAACACCCGATAAGGAAGGCACTGGACTTCGAAGCACAAGGCAAGCGACCACGAGGAGCCCGAAGAAAAGGTGAGGGACGTGATCAAGAAAGACCTCACTGAAGCGAAGGCCATGGCAATGGACGCCCTGGATAGGGAAAGATGGCGACTATCACAGGGTACATCCTATTTGCCTTCATATATATACCATTTTCACTTTAAATTCACCAGTTTTCAATCCAATTTCACCCCTTTCCAAATCAAATTCACTCTTTTCAAACCAAATTCACCCACTTTCCAAATACAATTCCACACTTATTAGACCGCGCAATTCATCAACCAGATCACGCCAGACACTACTGCGAGCCCCGCCCCGACGGCCACGCCTACTTGTCAGCGCGGACATAGATTTTCAAATCTTGTTTCATAACTTCTGCTTATGTGACTTTTCTTATCTTTTGCTGTTTCCCACAAACACTTTGACTGAAAACGACTGGACATCGACACATGGCCGACTCCGCCCATTCTCTAAAGGGTTTGGCAATCTAGGCTCCGCCCCCTTGACCACGCCCACTTGCTTTTTGCGGAATTTTGATATTTTTTCAAAATTTTTGCATTTTTGGACTGCTGCGTGAAGCCCCGCCCACTGTGAGAGGCTCCGCCCACTTTGGAGAAGCCCCGCCCACTTTTCAAAAATGGTGCAAATCGGCAGTATAGGGTCTTGGCTTTCATGCTAGGGTCTCGTTCGTCACTCGGAACAAGAAAATCAGGCAAAGTTTGTTCCGAGTGACGAACGAGACCCTAGCATGAAAGCCAAGACCTTATACTGCCGATTTGCATCATTTTTGAAAAGTGGGCGGGGCTTCTCCAAGTGGGCGGAGCCTCTCACGGTGGGCGGGGCTTCACGTAGCAGTCCGAAAGTGCAAAAATTTCGAAAAAAATAGGTGGAGTAGATTGCCAAACCCTTTAGAGTGAGCGTTCAGAATGAGCGGAGTCGGCCATGTGTCGATGTCCAGTCGTTTTCAGTCAAAGTGTTTGTGGGAAACAGCAAAAGATAAAAAAGTCACATAAGCAGAAGTTATGAAACAAGATTTGAAAATCTATGTCCGCGCTGACAAGTAGGCGTAGCCATCGGGGCGCGGCTCGCAGTAGTCAGAGGAGACACACCTGAAATGGGCGGGGCCTACTTTAGATGGGCGCTGCTTCCCACAAAGTCGGTAACTCGGTTCCCGAAAAAGTTTAGAGATCGCAGAAAAGTCCATGACGAAGATGAACATCTGGCAAGAGTCCACCATGTTTGGGCGTGCTGAGGCCCGCCCACAATGGGCGGGGCGTGCATTTGAACACGAGGTACCAGTTCAAAAAATCGTAGTTTGGTTCTAGAGCACTACAGACGGCGCAAAAAAGTGGATTATGGTCCCCAAGTGATTACATGTTGAGATGTGCGAGACACTTCCGTTGTGAGTGGAGGGAAATTTGAAAAAAAAATTCGTTACCGCCTCCAGAACATCCAGACGCCGGGAAAAAGTGACTTAAGATCAGGGAGGGTCATCGGTTCACAAGTGTGACGCACCCGCTATGGGCGGTGCGTGCGGCGAAAAGAGCGAAGCCGCTGAGCCACTCTCGAGAATTCCTAGAACGGTTCCAGAGCACTCCATACATTCCAGACCTCCTCTGTGATACGGCCCAGCCTTGCGGGGGTGGCTCCATCGTGCCTACCTGCTTTCGTATGATCAAATGCTCGACTAATACCCGGCTTTTCTCTCATCTGTCCAATTGATCAACGCTCCTTACCACCATTCCATACAAATAGTGTTGAAAATAGCAGGTATGATGCTATTGGTCAAAGAATGTTAACCATCCGTTCGGTATTCGGAAGGAGGCGCTCCGGCTCAACCGGCGCTAACCGACTGGTTAAGAAGAACAGCGAACCCTGCAACGCTAGGGAGAAGAAGAAGAAGAAATTTGGTCATCTGCTATCAAGAAGACTTGGATGACAGACCTCACACTCAAGAGGATGATTTCAAATATTTCCCTATTGAAAGGGTACTCATTGTTGTTTAAAATCGTCATGTTTCCTACTGAAATAAGACTGTTCATGTTTCCTGTCGAAATAGGAGTGTCGGCTCAAGTTAATTTCTATTTTTTTTGTATGTAAATGTAACATCTATTTCGCTTACTTTCTTTGCATTTCTCCAAACTATCTTGCCGGCGAAAGAGTACAATAAGGGTGAGCATATTCCATGCAAAGTGGAACGTATGGTTCCATTAAGAGCCTTATCGGTTGTACTTACCTATATTAAGCAGAGATTTTCAGGTTGAACGAGAGATTGCAATTATGAAACTCATAGAACACCCACACGTGTTGCACCTCTATGATGTATACGAAAACAAAAAGTATTTGTAAGTGAGATAAAATTACCACAGGCTTTCTTTAGTCAACTGGTTGACAGGTAAAATGTGCACTTCTTGCAGATATCTACTACTCGAGCACGTGGGTGGAGGCGAGCTTTTTGACTATCTTGTTCGAAAAGGTCGCCTTATGTCTAAGGAGGCGCGGAAGTTCTTCCGGCAAATTATATCTGCCCTCGATTTCTGTCATGCCCACAACATATGGTTTGCTTACACCTAACTTATACTGCTTACTTTGATGATCACTAACTTTATAGTCACCGAGATCTGAAGCCTGAGAACCTGTTGTTGGACGAGAGAAATAATATCAAAGTAGCCGATTTTGGTATGGCTTCTCTTCAAGTTGAAGGGTCAATGCTTGAAACTAGTTGCGGTTCACCACATTACGCATGCCCGGAAGTGATAAGGGTAAGTAGACACGGAAATAGCCCCAATTCTCGTCAGAGTTAGTCAAATGAATTTGAACAGGGCGAAAAATATGACGGTAGAAAGGCAGATGTGTGGAGCTGTGGTGTCATCCTTTACGCCTTGCTAGTGGTAAGCTCTAACAGTGATTGCCAAAAAGCCTGAAGTTGATAAGAGTTCGTTATTTTCCATTCATTTGCAGGGGGCTCTACCATTTGACGACGACAATCTCCGGAACCTGTTAGAAAAAGTCAAGAAAGGGGTATTTCACATACCACACTTTGTACCGGTCGATGTGCAGAGCCTTCTGCGGGCAATGATAGAAGTGGATCCTTCAAAAAGATATTCGGTGAATTTTTTTTCATGCTAAGTTCGCAGAGAGGGTCTTTGTAGTGGTTCCCGGGATTTAGTCCTATTCTACAATGCTGCTCTTATTTAATCTAGTTAGCGGACGTCTTCCGGCACCCTTGGGTGGCAGGTGCATCAAGGATTGAACCTGAACTAGAGTTACCGATGTCGCAGGTTGTCCAGGTGAGTACCTTTAAAATGTTCCGGAAAAATACATATTTGACTGGTGTTGCTGGAACTCTGTCTAATGTGGTTCTCCACTTTATGACCTCCTGCCCCCTCCTTTGTCTTACACTCCAGACAGGTGACCCAATATCGGTATTGCCGCGCCACTATTAGGGTATAAGCGCTTTCTCATCGGGCTGAAAGACTACGGCTACCGTCCTTCGAGCTATCGAATACAACCAATTGTCGAGGATCCTTGACGTACACTTGACTCCATTCGGTTACTTGATCACGGATAAGACATTCGCTTTCCACCGCCGCCATTTCTCTCCACGATATTTTCCACTAAAATCTACACTAACTTACATACTAAGGTCATTTATCGTCTTTGTTACAAATACATAAGGCAATTCCTTTTGGCGCCGGCGTCATTGAGCACCAAAATGGTGCCAGCGGCTCCTTCGCTTCCCCACAAAATTTGACATCAATTTGTATTAGCCTATATATGGGTAGTCATGCATCCCGATCGCGATTACGGCGCTTGTGATCGGTGCCCACCTCAGAGATCAGCGTCATATTCGTATAATATTCGTGATTATTCCATCCGCTCCCCCAAATGGAAGTTCGGCGTACTGCCGCTTTCACAGGCATGTTTGTAAACTTGGAGCACATCCTTATTATCAAGAACGTGGAAGAATTTGCGGACATCTGTTTCAAAATGCCAACAGGGCCCTTATTGCCTGTGGCGGTTAGCGTGTTTCCTATAGAGACTGTAGAGAAAGTAGAGCAATCACTGATACTACAAACCTATTGACTTGACACATCTCACCGATTACCTCTTACGTTACAGTTTTTATATTTTCGCAAGCAATATTCAGCTAACCAGAGGTGTTCCGCAAAAGGTAAATTGAGCCCACTATTAACAGATCTCACTCTCTCAGTCACGAAATACTGCAGTCGCATATGTAATAACGTTTTTCTTGCACAAGTTTTTATAAAGAAATGGGGATTGTTTTCAATGTGTTCTATGCTATCCGATAAATAATTTTCCGCTCTATAAGGTCATGTAAACCCCTTCCTACTATGTCTTGATTTCTGTCGATTGTTATCTCATTGAAAGGGAGTGCGGTTCGACACAAAAGTGAGTTTTTTTTTACAACTTTTTGCACTTTATCTCGGTCCTCGAATTACAAGAAAGCTCAAATTGTGATTAATGTGATCGAAAAAAGATGCTTCTTATGGCAATTTAAGGTTGATCCGAGCATTAAGAGATGGGAATTCGGTCCTTGTAATGTGCATTGCATGGGGCCCTCTTGGGGAGCGACTGCCTGCAGAACTTACCCACCAACTTTTGGACGTCTAACAACAACTGTGGGTGATGTTTGATGAGGAAGCCCTCCATTACCTATAACGACTCCCCATTCTTTGGTATGAGTTCCCATGATTAAGTTGATTCAGAAAGCTCTCATTTGGACATTAGGGTCCGATGCTTGTTTGTGAGGTCGAAATTGAAATCTTCAAATCACTTAACCCGTTGTAAGCATTCTTCAATAAGATGGCCTCTTGGCCACATACTTTGCAGTTGGGCAGCTTTTTCAATTAGAAGTAAGAAGGAGAGGCTGTCGATAATGCTTATTCATCAAGCTGACATTTCAGTGGAGCACTTCAATATTAGTGAAAGAAGAAGCTTCATAAAAAGACTGTCGTATAGACCAAGGAATTCTCTGCAGAGCAGTATAAAAGACAGTGGCGAAACTTTTCATCTTCAGCGCGATATTTCGAGTGGGAAAAAACGCCATTACTGATGGGTCAACCCAGTACAATCCTATATATAATTCGCTACGTATGTTTGTCAGTGTGTCTTTATGTGGCGTCTGTCTGTCTGTCACGAAATTCATAGCGAGCGTCGCAGAAAAGATAGGATGACAGTTCCAAGAATTGCAGGACGGGAACACTTTTGGTGGGTGACAGAAGGTGATACACCTGATAAGATTCGATAAGGGGCCTTAGAAGGGGAGGGTGACCGAGTCCATAGTGCGGGACACAGTAACAGGGACGTTGGTTCCAAGGTATGATATAGGGTGTGGGACAGGAACATTATTGGTGGGTGACAGGGAGTGATATCAGCTGATAAGATCCGATAAGAGGCGTCAGAAGGGGAGGGGCACCGAGTCCATAGTGCGGGACACAGCAACAGTGGGACGTTGGTTCCAAGGTATGGTGTAGGCTATGGGACACGATTGTTATTGGTGGGTGACAAGAAGGGCTAGCAGCTGATAAGATTTGATAAGAGGGAGTTAATGGTAAGGTCACCATACTCATAACGCGGGCACAGCATCAGTTAGGCGTTGATTTCAGCAAATGATATAAAGAGGGAGGTGGGGACGGCGACGGCGGGTGACGGGAAGTGATAACAGCTGATAGATGCTGATAAGGAACGTTGCTGTTGGTCAGTCAAATGCTGGAGCCTTTACACTACCAAATTATAGAGTTTAGTGATAGGTACATTGATGACGGGTAACAAGCATTTTATCAATTGATAAGGAAGGGTAAGCTGTAGGGGAACTAGTGTGGTAGGGTAAGTGAGTGGAAGGCCGAGAAGATGAAGGAGGACGATGGAAATGAAGACGAATGGCAAAGGAAGCAGAAGATACAAGAATAAACAATAAGCCTATATAAATGTGTTATGGAAAAGAGTAGAGAGATTTCCTTCTACTATTTTCGTCACAGGCTACCGAATGGCGATTAGGATGAGATTCGAACTCACGTGGGGAAACCCCAATGGATTAGATTTCCCTGAAGTTTCCTGTTTCAGGCGAACTACATACCCCCCCCCCCCGCTCGTCGACATCGACATTATATAGTAGGATAGTGGGATGAGTTCATTTTGAGTTCATTTCCTAGTGCTATCAGAGGAAGTGATGGCTAAAGGAATAGTTTGCCCACTGAGCCTTCAATACTTGTGCCATTCGCATTACATCTCTTATCACTATACTGACCAAGTATTGAAGGCTCAGTGTGCAAACTTTTCCTTTAGCCATCACTTCTCTGATAGCACTAGAAGTGAACTCAAAATGAACTCATCCCACTATCCTACTGTATAATGTCGATGTCGATGAGCGGGGGGAGGTATGTACTTCGCCACAAACAGGCAACAATAATTGCACAAAGTTTATCTCGGATAAGTTGTTCACTCCATGTTGATAATCTACTGTTCATACATATTAAGTCTGGAAGCGATGTGGGTAAATGGAAGTATAGAAATACTGTAAAGGTGAACAATACGTATTTCACGAAGGTATCAAGTAATCACCTAGACTGAACCGTCAGCATAACAAACGGTTAAATTAGTGCTGGACTGTACGAAAAGAACTTAAAGGTTATTAGACTCCCATCTTTGTGATGGAAGCATCTGCAATGATGAAGCTACCACTACATACAGTTGAACGCTAATTGTCACGGGACCGGCGGAAGTAGGTGGCATTGTCTCTCGGCTGCTCTCCGAGCCGCCGTCAAATCGGCTACTAACAAGTGAAAGCTCTCGCGCTCCCTCCGCCGCGCGGCAGTCCCATGAGCCTCCCTGGGGTCCGATTTTCCTTCCACTGTGCGGAGGCTTCCCGGAGAACCTAGTGATTTCGTGAGCGGACAACCACTACTACTAGTAGACCACCCGCAAAGTATTACAACCCAGTTACCAACTGCTGCAGCGCCCTACCGGGCTCCTCGCCCTGGTGCTCTCATCGTGCCCTTCTTTGACTTCCACACAATATCTAATACTCGCATTTATGGTCTCTTCTATTCCTACATGACGTCGATCCTCACCCATCATGCCAGCTTACGGAGCTGACCATCCATCCACCAGATTAATAAGAAGACGGCGACGGCAAAAGCACTCTATGTGCTGCCTA